TTTCCTCTGACTTAAGGAGGGATTGTGGTGCTAGTGAATCGGTTGGGAAGAGTGGTACGGGGGCTTTGCCGAGTAAACCGTTCCGATGTGGCTTGGGATCAGGGGGCGTCTTGCGGTTAATCTTACTCGTGGGGGTAAGAGTTCTTGTTGTCGAAGCGGTAGGGGGCTGCTTAGATGGCGTCGCGGATGTCGTTGAGACTCTGGGAGATTGTCGTGCCTTGGGAGATGAGAAGGATGTCGTCGCTTGGTGGTCAATGCGCGAGAGAGGGATCACCGGCAGGCAGCGGAGTTTGGGATCGCTGGCTCCATGGTTTCTTTTGAGGGCTTTCTTCCGCTGAGTTCGGGTGTGAAGTGGCTTGTCTGGGGAAACTCCTTGGACAAGGTTGCATCCCCTTTTCAGGGTCTCGGTTTGGGCGAGAGAGTCTGCTACCACTGATTCCGAGTTGAAGGTGATAAGGATGCCCACCTTCGTCTTCTTAGATTTGGACATCAGCCACGACGCTCCGATTGGTTTTGGTAGGGATGGCGCTGTAATGTTTCTCAGGAGGGTATCGGTTGCCTGAACCGGAGAATTGAACTTGGGGAAACTACCCCAGATTATAATCCGTTGGCGCTAATGGCCGCTGATTCTAATTTAGCTGCAGTGTCGAATATCTGTTGTTTCGATAGCGCGATCGTCTGTCTTGCGGCAGCAAGTGCTGGGAAGTTATCCTTAAATAACGCTGTCAGGTGACTTAAATTGTTATCTAGTGCCGAGACTTTTCCACGCAGTTCGTGTTTTATCGAAACTTGCAGGTCAAGGGTGACTAGAGCCGCTTCTGGTGCTATTTGAGTGCTAGCCCAGTCGCTGGTTTCGGCCACCTCATGTGGTATGGGGATTTCCCGCATGGGAAAGGTGTCCTCGTCGGAGGATTCAGAGGGCTCAGAATACATAGTTCAAGAGTAGTGGTACTAGTAAAATATAAATCGCAATGAAATAATATGGAAATAAATGGAAAGGGAATCTAGAATGGTAGTATTGTTCCTATATCCGTAGGTATAAAAGAGCCTGATGCGAGTAGAAAAAATTGCTGTTTTCAGTTGAGGGTGGAAATCTCACCACTTAGAGTGAAGAAATATATAATTAATAATAATATATTTATATTTTACGGAGCCACGTGAGGCATGCAGAGGCATAATCAAATGTACAACATAATCCTCCGTACAGGAGAAGCCCAAAAGGGGAAAAAATTGAAGG